GCAGAAACAATGCAGACTCTCGGCTGGATTGACACAGTGGCTGCGACGCTGTGGGTGTGTTTATGTGGTTTGCTATTAAACCCTTATCAGATATATGGTTACCAAAAATTTTCTAGGTTGTCTCTTCACTTTGTATCAACAAAGTTCATTCTTGAACAGATGTTTTTGGTTTGTATGATGTCTCATTTATCCATTTTGTCTTTGTTGTTTGTGCTTTTGGTGTTACATGTAAGAATTTTATGAAGAACAAGGTCACAAAGCATTACTACTCTTGCTTTCTTCTAAGAGTTTTATGGTTTTAGTGCTTACAATTAAGTCTTTGATCCGTTTTGAGTTAATTTTTGTATATATTATGAGGTATGGGTCCAGGTTTCTTCTTTTGCTGTGAAAATCCAGGTGTCATTGTATCTTTTAAGGGGTGCCTGTTTCGTTTTGTTTTTCATTCTTCTGTCTCTTTGGCCAGGGAGGGAAGGAACTTTTTTCCTTACTTATTTTCTGCATATTTTCTATACCCTCTCAAGATAGTTGCATTTACACTATGAATTATTTACTACCCATAGATTTAATGATTCTTTCACAATTTCCTATATCCCTACCCCTTATACTTAGAGTTCAGAATCTGTATATATGGTAGATGTCATTGACATGTCCCACTGGTATCTTAGGTTCAATCGGAACTCAACCCTGTGCACCTTTAGTCTACTATTACTGTACCTGTTTTAAAAAAAACTCAGTCTCTGCCTTTAATGTTTCCTCCCTCTTGCTTCATTTCTCCACCCCGGAAAAAAAAAATAACTAACACACTGACACATGTCATCTTTCTAAATACACAAAATCAGCTAGTTTCACATTTTGCTGTTGCCCATCTTTATATTTCTGGCAGTGCCATGGTCCAGTTCCCTGAATGCTCCGTGTTTACGCATGCCTTTGCATGTGCTGTAGTTTGTTACTGCTTGAAATACCGTCTCTGTTTGCCTGCCTGGATAAGATACCCACTGAGGGGCGAGTCAAGCGTCATCTTTTTATGAGGCCTTCCTGACTCGGCCGGCCAGCACCCTTCCTGTGTTCACATTCTGCTTTAAACATATCTCCTCTGTAAGAGTTGGCTTTTCTCAGTCTTCTATTGTCTGCATGTGTTTCCTCCCTTTTGGCCAAGCTCCTCAAAAGCATCAGCTGTGTCTTGTCTCCGCATCCTCAACATAATATCTGGCATCTGTTAGGTACCCCGTAAAACTAGATGAAGGAACACATGAACAAAGAAAAGCGTACTCTTTGTGTAAGAAGAATAAGCTAATTAAAACTGCAGCAGAAAAAATTTGCCCATACTTGGGAAGGTTCAGTTTAGCAGAGTAGCAGACAATAAATGCCTCTCAGTCATTTCCCACAACCACCCAGTTTTATAGAGGCTGGTCGTAGTGTGATCGACAACCTGATGAACCCAGACAAGACTAAGATAAACTACTTGTCCTCCAGTAGAATAAATATTTCAAATAAAGTGAACCCAAGAAAGTCAGGCCAAACAGCTATTGATTGCTGAAAGTTTGAACTTAAGCCCAATGAATATTCCAAAGTTCACCTCCATGCAGCTCGCCTAAATGGTGATCAATATGCAATTACTGCCCCCTTTAAACATGTCTTATACTGCCTACCTAAAGAAGCATTTTGCTTTTGAAATCTTTTGTTTGTTGAATTTGCTTACACAGGGGAAAAAGAGGGACCCGGAGTCTTTTACCTTTAGTATTGCAAACAATTCTGTGTTATTTGTGAAATGGTGTGAACGGATGCTGCATGGTAACTGAAGGTGCCCTGTGTTATGACCGTCATTCATTTCAAGAGGCCTTTCCCTGAGTGACTAAACAATGAGGATATTGTTTCTCAGATTCCTAATTTCTGCTCACATGATTATCTGCCCTGGTCATAACCTTTGTATATTCAAACTTGTAAAGTAGCATGCTAAAGTCCAGCTGTAGTGAAAACAAATATATTTTTTGTCTGGTTTCCTGGTTTGAATTTTATCTTGATGCAAAAACTCCTTGCTGCTGAATTTGAAGCCTTTTTACCCTGCACCTGATATTAAAGATTTTACATCTCTCTCAAATAAGTCTTTTTCATACCACTGTCATAGGTAGAACCCTCTGTCATTTCTCACTTACACTATTGTCGTAGTCTCCTGTCCCTTCTGCCCTCAAGCGCTGTCCTTCCAGTCAGTTTATCATTCTGCTTCACTCGTCATTCAGAAATACTGTAGCTCTTGCAGTTCTTACTCTGCCTTGCAGACCTCCCCACCTTCATACATGCTGTCTACCCCCACCACTGTCATGGTTTGCCCTTCCCTCCCTTCATTCTTTAAACTCGGTTGGGATGTCACCTTTCACTTGGCAGCTTCATTGACTTCTCCCACATAAAGTTAATGATCCCCACCCCTCACATCCTTCCACTTAATTTCCATTGCTTCAGGTTTTTGAACTCTGGTGGTGTACTGCCTAAGGCATTTGACTGCTGACCAGAAGGCTGGTGGCTCAAACCCACCAGCTGCTCCTCGGAAGGAAGACTGGGCAATCTACTTCCGTAGAGATACCGCCTCAGAAACCCAAAGAGGGATCACTATGAGTCGGTCTGACTCAGTGGCAGTGAGTTTGGTTTGTTTTGGTTTTATCCTTAGATTAAGGAGCCCTGGTGGTGCAGTGCCTAAGGCATTTAACTGCTAATCAGAAGGTAGGTGTTCAGACCCACCAGCCAGTCCAGGAAAGAAAGACTGGGAAATCTACTTTTGTAAAGATTTGCATCCTAGGAAACCCAGTGGGGGCCGCTGTGAGTTGGAATTGACTTGAAGGCAGTGGGTTTGGTTTTGGTCTGTCCTTAGATTGCTTAGGGAGAGGACTTTGTTTCTAGCAGCCAGCTTAGTGCCTGCTGTATGAAGTCATGCGCTCAATAGCACTTTAAAAAAAAAAAAAAAACAACTCGGTAGTTGGATTAAATGTCATTTGTGAACATTTATAGTTCTTTAGGAACCCTGGTGGCACAGTGGTTCAGCCCTCGGCTGCTAATCAAAAGGTTGATGGTTCGAACCAAACAGCCTCTCTATAGGAGAAAGGTGTGACAGTCTGCTTCCGTAAAGATTATACCCTTGGAAACCCTATGGGGCAGTTCTACTCTGTCCTGTAGGGTAGCTATGAGTCAGATTCGACTCATAGGTGATGGGTTTGGGTTTTTGGGATGTATGTGAGTTCTTTTGTTTGATCCATAGTAGGGAGAATAAAGGAATATTCACAGTCCACCTTTGATCTGTCAAGGTTGGTACCAAAGTTGGGTGACCAGTTGTTTGGGTTTGCCTGGGACTAAGGGCTTTCCTGAGATGTGGGACTTTTGGTGCCAAAAGTGGAACAGTCCTAGGTAAACCAGGATGGTTGGTCACCCTTGCACCAAACGGAATTATCAGCAAGCTTCTTACCTATTCTTTTCTCCACTCATTGGGATGCAATCCTGGCTAGCCAGTCTGCCCCAGGATAGCACTCTCTGTCGTCATTAACAGTCTGATAGTACATTGCTTTAATAATGTTGCCTCTACAAAAGATTATCCAAAAGGGATATTATTTCTGATTCTTTTTTCTTGACTTGAGGTGAGAAATTGGATAAAGGGCTTTGGTTTATATTATTACTACGTTTTGATCAGGCTTGGCTCCCTTTGCCTGACCAATCACTTTGCTTCATCTATTAATTCTTTTCTCTTTTATCTGTTCAGTCTCTTTATCACCAATGCCTTATTGATACCCTAAAAATATAATTCAATCATATATATTCTATATTCAATCCATAGATACAAAGTAAATTAGTGATTGCTTAGGGCTCGTGAGGTATGGGGGAAGCTCTAGTGGCATAGTGGTTAAAAACATTCAGCTGCTAACCAAAAGGTTGGTGGCTTGAGCCCAACAGCTGTTCCCTAGGAGAAAGATGAGGCAGTCTGCTCTGTAAACATTCACATTCACTGCCTTGAAAACCCTAGGGGACAGTTCTACTCTATCTTACAGGGTCACTGTGAGTTGGAGTTGACTTGCGATTTGGACAGGATTTGTTTGTTGGGATTTTGGAGAGCATAGAGTATAGAAAATAGGAGAGTGATAGTTAAAGGGGGAGGTTAATAAACTTATCTGTGAAGATCCATGGTGTTGTGCATTTTAAAGGGGTCATTTGTAAGCTATGTGAACTATATCTCAAAACTGTTTAAGAACAAAAAGAAATAATAAAATCCATAATCACAAACCCCTAAAATAAATAAACTATTTGCATTTTTATCTATTTCCGGTCTTTTTGCTGCATGTTTTTCACATAATTGAGGTAGTGCTTCATAGGGAAGTTTTTACATTGCCTGTGTATTTATTCTGACCATAAGAATTTGTTGATTCAGTTACAGACTCTCTTATTTGTTCGTGAGTGTGTAATATTCCAGGTAGATATGTCATAATGTAACTATTTTCCTATTGTTGGACATTTAAGATGTTTCGGTTTTTTGTTTTGTTTTTCCTGCTTTTTAATTTTTCATTATGAGTACTGTAGTAAATACTTTTTTATTTTTTCAAAGGCTAGAACTCCCAAGGGTAGAATCATTAGGTCAAATGGCATTTTTAAAGCTCCTAATATAAAGACTAAGCAATCTACTTCTGTAGAGATATTGCCACAGAAACCCAAGGAGGGGTTGTTGTGAGTTGGAATCGACTCAACAGCAGTGAGTTTGGTTTGGTTTTGGATATCAGTGTTTAAATTTAAGAAAATTTAATTTACATCCCAGTAGTGGAAGAGGAGTGACTTTCACAGTGTCTTTACAACATTAGTTTTAATTTATGTTTTGTTGTTTTTAACTTTCTCTTCTGGTTTTCATCTAATAGGTTGAAAGGTATGTCATAGGGTAGGCCTCCCTTCAGTGTGCCTGCCTCATAAGTTCAGATGTACTTCTTTACTTTTTCCCCATGAAATGCCTTATGGGAAACTTCTCTTGTTCACAGAGAAAAGAAGATTTCCAGGAGCAGTGCCCTCAAAGTGCTGGACCATGCCATGATTGGCCCTGAGGGTACGGACAATTGCCATAAGTTTGTTGACATTCTTGGCTTAAGAACCATCTTTCCCCTCTTTATGAAATCTCCCAGGAAGATCAAGAAAGTGGGGACCACTGAGAAGGAACATGAAGGTAAGATTCTCTAGGAAAATCAGTGGAATATAGGTGCATTAAGATAAAAGGGGGAAACAAGAACTACTTTGACAATCCCTTTGACATGCATTTGAAGAGAGGCCTCTTGGGCCGGAGAGTGCTTTTCTGTCTTCTGATTTTCCATGCATGGAAGAGCAATCCAGAGACCTCAGGGCACCGGTGGCCATTGTTCTGCTGGTTTTCCACTTGCTTGAATCTTGGTGGTTCCATTTCCTTCTGGCCTGTTAATAAGTCTGTGTGAGGGTTTTGTTTTCTTCACTGTAATTTGTAGCGAGATGTCTCTCTGATGGAAGACCCTTTTGAAAAGAGTAATGAGGTGGCAACACCTGTCACCTCCGGAGTGGTGCTTTCATGTATTTCTGTATTAAAGTATGATTCAGCCAACATCAGGAATTGCCGAAATAAACTATTTACAGCCCAGGTTCCCCTTTTTATGTTTCTCCTCCCTGATAGTGCACACTCCCAGCAAAATGCTGCCATGAATTGCAGCACTGTAGCCAGAGTAGTTACCGCTAGGCCAATCTCTTCCTGCTATTGTCTAGTGGCCTGCTGCGTCCCACCCCCCAATAAATAGCTGCAGTGCAATCTGGAATGCCAGGGATTTATGAGCACTGACAGTTCTGCTGGAGGCTCACAGACATCTGCACTAGGGAATTTACATGGTCGGATGGTTGTTTTGAAGTATGGGGGAGGGGTGTAGAGCGAAGAACTCAACTGATAGACCGACTAATTTGGTTGTTGTCAAAAGCAACATTTGTCCTTGGTTTGGGTGGGCTTTGTGTTTTGCTTTGCTTTTTCTGTGATCAGTAGAATTGGCATAGAGATCTGCAGGATCTTTTGTACTCCTCATTTCCTAGATAAAAGTTTAAGGACTCCCGTCTGTCTCTTCTCAGATTAACTTGCCTTACTTAGTCTCTCCCAACTTTGAGTGGTTAGTTTCCAAAAAACCCAACCAAACTCACTGCCATAGAGTCGATTCCGGCTCATGGCGACCCCCTTTGGGTTTCTGAAGCAGTAAATCTTTACAGAAGTAGATTGCCCAGTCTTCCTTCTGCAGAGTGGCTGGTAGGTGCTAGTTTAGGGATGGCTAAAAAAGTAGGAGCTCTGGTAGCATAGTGCCTAAGGCACTTGACTGCTTACTAGAAGGCTGGTGGTTCAAACCCACCAGCCACTCCTCGGAAGGAAAGTTGGGCAATCTACTTCCGTAGTAATGCTGCCTCGGAAACCCAAGGAAGGGTCGCTGTGAGTCAGGTCCAACTCGATGGCACATAACAACAACAACAAAGAGAAGATGGTGTGACCTGTCTGTTTTCTCCAATCAGATCTACTCTTCAGAGGCAGCAGGTAAAGAACTGCCAATACAAAGAACTGTAGACCAGAGAGCTGAGAACAAATACTGTTCAGTCCAGCTCAAATCAGATATGGACCAAGCACCAACTATAAACATGTTAACCTCACTGCTGGTCTTTTTTCCTTCCCTCCATGGAAATTCAGCAAAATGTTATTATGGGAAAAGGAATGAAGGCCTGTTAGAGATCTGTTGTTGTT